CTGTAAAACTTGCCTTCAGATGATTGTTGACCATCAAAGAGTGGCTATGTTGTCAGCCAAATGGGGGTAGAGAAGATACATCAAGCCTGACAAGTGCACAATTTAATATGGAAATGTTGTCAACAGAAGGAGTTATCAGTAGCACGACTACAGTTGCAGCTGCTGGAGAAGCACAAGCCAGAAGCATCATTACCTTCCCCCATTATTTCTCCACGCAAAAAGAAATCTGGTAAGTCACTGTTATTACCATCATATTTTGATCCAGTTAGCAAGTATGTCATTTCTGGAGGGAATCCCCTTGTGGCTCCCTGATGTTTCAATGCTGATATAGTTACTAGATGCCATCAGTCATGGAGTTCTTTTTTGGCCTACCGGGGACCATTTACCAGACCCCCCCCCCCCCTCCCCATCTAAAGATGCAGAGAGCAGTGGCACAATGAAAGATTGTCAGTGAATTTTAATTGTCTGCCACTACCAGGGAAGTGCCCACAAAGTTAACAAAACAGAGTGGATTACTGGTGGTTATAAGGAATATCAGCGCCTTCAAAATAGCCAAAAGAACTCCCCAACAATATAAAGAAATGATTGAAAATTTATGAAACTTGCGCAAGCTTGTTCGTGCCACCACCTCCCCTCGTTTGGGTGGAGGAGGGAGGCAAATCAGGTCAGCCGGCTTCTTCACCCTTAGTTCTTGCTGATGATAGCTAGTGTCATGGCTGTCTGCTTTGTTGCACAGGTTCCTGTTTCCTGCTTCAGCTAAGTACCAGTATTAGCTTTTTGTGCTTTGTGAACCAAGACATAAAAGGCGGAACTGCATGTACAAAGGGTTTTCTTCCCTCCGTACTCCCTACCACTGCCCTTGCACTGCTAGGGTTCTCATCCTTGGAGTATGCTGGGGGTTTGCTCCTTTAGAGGGCATCTTCTCTTGTGGTGGTTCATGCCTTGGGTAAGTCCATTTATTTTTGGTTTTGCCTTCCCTAGGGTTGGGAGGGAATTTTGGCTGGCAGAGCACACTAGGGTTGGTGCATGCCAAGGTCTGCCCTCTCAGCCTCAGGTGAGCTGTGTTGCCCTGCGTATACCCGTTCCACGGTCCATATGACTATCATATTTGTATTCCAATACAAAGATACTTCCCTTCTCGAAGGACCTGTTAACTATTCCAGGGTTCCGACATAGTGATCACAGTGCATGGTCTTCCTAGACCAACAACCAGGAGACCTGGTCAGAGACTGGGCCGGTGGAACGACAGGTAGGGCCATCCCATGCAAACCCTGGAAAACCCCTGTGGTTTGGTAGTCTAGTGGATACAGTATCCCTCTTGAACCCCCTCTCGGTGTGTACGAATTTGAGGGTTCTGCACCAAGCGTGTGAACACCATTACCCGCAGGCCTATCATAAAATCCTGGTTGGACACTCGTTTGGGCCTACAGAACCTCCCAGTAAATTCAGAGTTCCAGGTTGATAGGCTTTTGTCCTATTCTAGCCAAGTGGATTAAGGCAGATGTCCGAGAATCACCAGAATGCAGGTTCGAGTTGCCGTATTAGCCCAAAATAATTTTCTCATCAGACATAGATATAGAATGCTTCCAACCGCTTGGGTGATTTCTATAGGCCATTGCTCCTCTTGCCTCTCTGAGGAGGCCAGATTCTAGCTCGTGGTCCCTGGTAGACCTAAGAACTCCCTGGCTTACCTAATGCCAGGGTTTAATACATTCATATCAGCCCAGATAGCTTCGGGAAGCCTCTGGGACTCATCCAGAAAATGGCGTTTCAATACATTCAATGCTGGTTTTTTGAGCTCTTCAATGTGTGCCTCTTTACTCCTACCGTTTCCTGTGATGTGGGTCTTGCACAGTTACATGCTCAGGTTCCCCTACTGTCGGCTGCCTTGGTTATCGATGACCTTCATGTTTGCTCGCACTTGTCATCAGTCATGTGTTTCTTGACCCACCTCGAGCTTCATTCCGATTGGCTCTCGAAGGACGTTGGGATGCTTGGTTGGGTTCCTCATGCGTGGATGTCTTGGCCTGTGCTTCATTGGCATCAGCTGCCCTCCCTAAGCTGTATGCTTCAATCCTCTGGGAGATAGTTGTCATGTTTTTCACCTCTCATCTCACAGGTTGGCAAGCCATGTTGGCCCGGTCTTTGGACTCTGTGTGGGCCCCTGGCTCTCATCTTGGCTTTCCCTTTTTTTGTTCTCTGCTGTTTCCTGAGGACATTGTTTCTCAGTTTTTGTCTGCTGTTGCTGTTGTTTTCCATCCTGTGTCTTAATTTGTTGTGTGTGCTGGTGGGGTCATTCTCACCTTTCCCAGTGATTTGCTCGGGCCAGGGTGTTGCCTGCTGTTAGTCGAGGTGGGTCCTCTGTGGTGCCAGCAGTGGGTTGGATGTGCGTCCTTCCCTTCCTTCTTTCCTTCCTTCCTTCTTTCCTTCCTTCTTTCCTTCCTTCCTTCCCCTTCCTTCCTTCCTTCTTTCCTTCTTTCCTTCCTTCCTTCCTTCCTTCCTTCCTTCCTTCCTTCCTTCCTTCCTTGTCTTTCAAGTCATTGCAGTGATCGCTCTGCTCGAAGGGCAGGCTCTCGGGGTTCGTGTCAGCCCTTTCACAGATCACCCATTTGATGGGGAATTGAAAAGGGTGGGAGGCTACCTCGGTTTGCCAGCTCTTGGTCCCGTGATTTATGGGCATTTCATGTCATTTCTTATGGCCTGCTGTGAAGTTGGTCGGTCTCGCCTCCTTCAAGAGGATTGGGTCTTATGAGACAGGGCCCCATCTCCTTGCCTTCGTTGGGTCTTCCCGAAGTGGCTGGCTTCTGCTGTGGTCGAAATGACCTCGTCTTTCTTGGTGGGTTTCCTGCCTGTTTCTAGTCCTGAAATGGGAATGTTCAGATCTCTTGTTTCCTGTTTATCTGCCAACAAAGGCAGACCCTCCCCCCTCCCCCCCACCAGGTAACGAAAACAAAAATAAAAGGAAAACCCCCTCAAAGAAGACAATGTACCCAGATGGAACAGAGCCGGCTGCTATGAGAGGTGACGAGCTGTGCAGTACCCTGCGCCCCTACCAGTGCAAACTACCTCTTACCCTAAGGCGAACAAGGGTGCAAGAAACGCCCCAACACACAAAGGGCAGCCGAACACCGAGCAGCAAGCGACCAAGCATAGGCAGAACCCAAGGAACTTGTGGAAGGCGGCCCCAAGCCCCCAAGGGCAGTACTTACCGGGCACCAAGGGAAGGTAGCCCTAGGTGCATGCAGCCTGAGTACTGAAGAGAATACTCCTGGCTCGTGCACCGCCCCAAGGAACAGCCCACACCACAAGGCACAAAGCTGGAGACAATGTCAGGAGCCAGAGCACACGACTTTAGCTTAGCGCATCAGCCTCAGAACTGAGGGTTTTGGGTGGCCAGCGCGAGGGGTCTTGACTCCCCCTTCCCCCTCCTGGGGAGAGGGGGAGGGAACTGCGCAGATGGCGGCTTGGCAATATGGTAACGTCATGCTCGTTTGCATGTTTTTCTTTGGGATGTTCTGTCCACTTGTTTGACTTTTATTAGTAGTTTCAACCAGAATAGGGGTTTGTTTTGGGTTGTTTACCTTTCAGAGTACTGTCTCCACTCGATTATCCGGACTATATGGGAAGGACCCCCAGCCGGATAATCACGTGTTCCAGATAATGGTACTTTTTCACCTCAGAGTCCAAAACTAACCATTTCCAACTATTTTTATACTACAAACAACATAATTTGAATTGCCTTGCCACATATAATTATCAAATATTCAACTAGAAACCTCAACTTACCATGTTATTGTTCGTCTTCTTGATTGATGCCACACATCTTGAAGTTAAAAATTCTTGACAATTTACGTAACCTCCACTAACACGACACTAAAATTAACACTTAAAATTACTGTACAGTTCATTAATAGTTTTGACTGCCAGCTGTGGAAGCCTCACTGGTTGAAGGCATTTGGCTTGCCTGTGACGCCTCACTGGTTGAAGGCGCTTGGCTTGCCTGTGACGCCTCACTGGTTGAAGGCGCTTGGCTTGCCTGTGAGGCTTCACTGGTTGAAGGCATTTGGCTTGCCTGTGACGCCTCACTGGTTGAAGGCATTTGGCTTGCCCGTGAATCCTCACTGGTTGAAGGCGCTTGGCTTGTCTGTGACGCCTCACTTGCTGAAGGCGCTTGGCTTTCCTGTGACGCCTCACTTGTTGAAGGCGCTTGGCTTGCCTGCGACGCCTTGTCCCTCAGTTTCCCTGGGGGTTCTGTCTGGGGGCTGTGCTTTGCCTTTCTGTGGTGTATCTCCGCCGGCAAATGTGGTGGTTTGGGCTTTCCCTGGTTCGATTCCGGGTTCCTTTGGGTTCTTTGGTTTCGTTCTGGAGGTTTCTTCCTCTTGGGCCCCCTTTGTGGGTTCAGGGGGGGCTTTGTTTTCTCGTGTGTGACCCGGTTCTGCCTTCTGGAGTTCCGGGGTCTTCCTGGCTTGCAGACTGATCTTTTTGGGTCTTGGTACATGTTGTGGTCGTGCTGGGACTTGGAGGTTTTGTTGTCGAGGTGGGCCTTTTGATGCAGTTTTGTGCCTTCTTCGCCTGGCCGGCGTGGTGCTCTCTGCCCACTGGTCGGCGGCTTGTAATTTTCTTTTCACGTGTATGTGTGTGTACACACATGTACATGTGTACACTGTGTGTGTGTGTGCACATGTGTATGGGTATATACATAATGTGTATATGTACCTTTTCTTTCGGAAGGGGCTCTGTTCCCTTCTCTGTTGATGGGGCGCTCGGGAAACAGCTTGCTCTGTTGACTCTCGCATGGTCCCGTGGTTAGTGGGCGCTTTTGGTTGTCTTCCGGGCTCTGGTGGCGGCGGTGGACGTCTTCTCCCCCATCAGGGGGTTCAGGGCTGGCGGGGTGGGCTTCTTCCCCTGCACTTCGTCATGTCATCTTAGTGGGTGCGTTGGACGTGGTCGATCTGCCCCATCCTTCTGAGGTTCCCATCTGCTCTTTGCAGACATTGGCCTGTCAAATCTGCGGTTCTTCTGGACTTCTTCAGTCTGTGCCCTAGATTCTATGCCCACACAGCACTTTCTAGATTCTATGCTTAACACAGTACTCAGTAGCATCAACTAACACAGTACTCAGTAGCATCAACTAACACAGTGCTCAGTAGCATCAACTAACACAGTACTCAGTAGCATTAACTAACACAGTACTCAGTAGCATCAACTAACACAGTACTCGGTAGCATCAACTAACACAGTACTCAGTAGCATCAACTAACACAGTACTCAGTAGCATCAACTAACACAGTACTCAGTAGCATCAACTAACACAGTACTCAGTAGCATCAACTAACACAGTACTCAGTAGCATCAACTAACACAGTACTCAGTAGCATCAACTAACACAGTACTCAGTAGCATCAACTAACACAGTACTCAGTAGCATCAACTAACACAGTACCACAGTACTCGGTAGCATCACCTAAACACAGTACCACAGTACTCGGTAGCATCACCTAGACACTGTATTACAGTACTCAGAATTATCATCTAACACTACAGTATAAGCATACTCATAGCAAATATTGATAACTTAATTTTAATTCACTAAATGTGTGTGTGTTGTGTGCAGGATCTGAATCTTCAGCCTCCCAGATCTCAACGAGTGGTGGTCAGCTACCGTCTGAGTCTCCACATGTGGCGCATCCTTCACCGCCGCCAGAAACCATCACCACAAGCTCCCCCGTTAAAAGTCCTATGTCCACTAAGCCCCCCACTTCTGCAAAAACATCATCAAAAACATCATCTGCAAAGAAATCAATGAAAAATAAAAACAAAAAAATTGTCTGCATCTGTCGAACACCATTTGACGACTCAAAGTAAGTTGTCTTTTTTCTTTATTAATTCATGTTTTAATACGTGTATGGTATTAAAAAATTGCATTTATACACTAGACATCCTTCAATCCAATCACTTCGATTCCAGTCGTGAGTTGATATATAGTCGTTATCGCATATGCAGTTGAATCCTCCCAGCCACGGAAAATAATAAGTTTATGTACTAAAATGCACATCAGTAGATTGTAACTCCACTACTTACTTTAAACAAAACACCACAGTATATTGTATTGGTAATAATAATAAATATTACCTCATGTGGATACTCACAACGAGTTCAAATATTTTTCCAAATACAAAAATGGAATGATCTTTAGGTGAGTATGCTTGTGTTATTTGAAGGTGGAGGTTGAAGTTTAGAGTTGAGGTTGATATGTTGAGGGTTGAGGTTGAGATGTTGAAGGGTTGATTGAAGCTGAGATGTTGAGGGTTGAGATTGAGCTGTTGAAGTTGAGAAGTTGAGGTTGAGATGTCAAGAGTTGAAGCTGAGATGTTAAGGGCTGAGGTTGAGATGTTGAGGGTTGAGGTTGAGATGTCAAGGGTTGAGGTTGAGATGTTGAGGACTCAGATTGAGATATCAAGGGTTGATGTTGAGGGGTGAGATGTCAAGGGTTAAGGTTGAGATGTCAAGAGTTGAGACTGAGATGTTGAGAGCTGAGGTTCAGATGTTGAGGTTGAGATGTCAAGGGTTGAGGTTTAGATGTCAAGGGATGAAGTTGAGATGTCAAGGGATGAGGATGAGGTCGAGATGTCAAGGATTGAGGTCGAGATGTCAAGGATTGAGGTCGAGATGTCGAGGGTTGAGGTCGAGATGTCGAGGGTTGAGGCTGAGATGTTGGTTGAGATATTAAAGGTTGAGATGTTAAGTAAAAAACTGGAGGCCTGACGAAGCAGATATGAGCCCCATTTACCCCTCAAGGATTTTAAATTTTTAGTAGGACAGTGCAACCTCGAGTCTGCGAACTATATGGGACCAACCCCGGTTCGTTGCAGGGTTGGATTCGTTGCAAAAGGTGATGCCTTCAGGAGGCATTTATGTAATGCATTTGTTTTAGTAAAATAATTCATTGTTATATACAGTCCAGCACTACTAAACTGTACAATAATGAATCATACTCTCTCTTTATATACATTAGAAAAGGCATACTGTATATAGAATACTATATTAAGAATTTTGCTTGAATCCTCTGTAGGCTCCATTTGTAATTATAAACACCTTGTGTGTGACGGTTACAAAGGATGTCGGTAACTGTAAACAAATATTGCTATCCCCACCATGCTGGATACCAGCCTGAGGGAGAGAAGCAGTGAGGGAGGGAGGGAGGGAGGCAGTGAAGGAGTGAGGAAAGGCAGTGAAGGAAGGAGGGGAGGCAGTGATAGATGGAGGGAGATAGTGATGGATTGGAGGCATTGAGGGAGAGAGGCAGGGAGATATATAAGCAGAGTGAGGGAGAGACAGTCGGTAAGGGAGGTTGAGCCAGTGATGTAGGTTGAGCCAGTGAGGGAGGGAGAGGCAGTAAGGGAGGTTGAGCCAGTGAGGGAGGGAGAGACAGTAAGGGAGGTTGAGCCAGTGATGTAGGTTGAGCCAGTGAGGGAGGGAGAGGCAGTAAGGGAGGTTGAGCCAGTGAGGGAGGGAGAGACAGTGAGGGAGGTTGAGCCAGTGAATGGGCGGGGGAGGAAGATTTCACTGAGGACAATTTTAATATCAACCTGTCAATATGAAGGAAATTTAACATTTTGTCCATTATCTGTCTTGCCTCACTCATCTTGTTTCATCACAGAAAATGTCTCTACAAAGATTTCAACAAATATAGCTACCTATTCAGCTTTAGCCTTTAAATTAATTTACAAAGTTATGTGTGCCACAAATCAATGAATGAAAATCATAGAAACTCAGTCGTTTACTTGTTGTGTGGACCACTCTGGCTGGTGTTTGGTTAATATGCTTCACTTGTTGTGTGTGGACCACTCTGGCTGGTGTTTGGTTAATATGCTTTACTTGTTGTGTGGACCACTCTGGCTGGTGTTTGGTTAATATGCTTTACTTGTTGTGTGGACCACTCTGGCTGGTGTTTGGTTAATATGCTTCACTTGTTGTGTGTGGACCACTCTGGCTGGTGTTTGGTTAATATGCTTTACTTGTTGTGTGGACCACTCTGGCTGGTGTTTGGTTAATATGCTTTACTTGTTGTGTGGACCACTCTGGCTGGTGTTTGGTTAATATGGTTCACTTGTTGTCACTTGTTGTGTGGTCCACTTGTGTGATCCAACTTGTCATATGAAGGAATTATTAATTGTAACCTGTGGTAGAATGGGAAAGTTTTCCACCATTCTGTGAACTATGTCCCAACATTGTAAGCAAATCCTCACATTCCCTGCTTCGTCGAACCGGGTTAGTAAATCCGGCCTGAAAAGTGTGCTACCTAGCCAGAGATTTGCTGAATCGGGGTATGTCGAATCGAGGTTGTACTGTACTTTAAAATGTCCCTGACCATGTTGAGCAGTTTATGGATATTTAGCAAGAACTTCTCTGGTTAGGTCGAGCAGTTGAAGTGTTAAGCATCATTGAAACACTAAAGTGTTAATGATCTCTCTGAAATACAGTATCTGTTAGCATATCCTCTTTTGACAATTACCTGCCTTACTCAGATTATCCAAGTTCTTCAGATATATTGACCCAACTAGTTCTCTTGAATAGAATAGCATTTTGACATAAAATTCCTAAGGCTGGAAACTGATGTACATTACTAAAAATAGTAGCAGCTTGCAAAATTGATGTGATGTTCTGTGTTTTGTTTGTGGGTCCTTGGGCAGGTTAGGTTCGGGCAGTTTAGTACATCAGTTTAGTGACCTTGGGAACACTCGGGAGAACGTATTGATTGACCAGCAGCACCAAGATAATTGACAGATACAACGACAATAGAATATTAGATATATTCAAGACCCTTCATATCAAACACTTATAACCAACTATCAAAAGCCAACATACGGTTAGGTACACTTTACCATTACAGTGCAACCTCGTTTCGGCAAACCATATGGGACCAACCCCCAGTTTGTTGTGGTGATGGATTCGTTGCAAGTGGTGATGCCTTCTGGAGGCATTTGCATCAGTATCTTTTCTTGTACACAATAAAAATGCATTATCATAATATATACTGTACCTATATATTACTACTCTACTAAAAATACTGTGTCATAATTGTATTTACCCCGGTGGAGGCGGGGACAAATGGGCAAAATGTTTCTTTTACCCTGATGCTCCTGTTACTTAGCAGTAAATAGGTACCTAGAAGTTAGACAGCTGCTACGGGCTGCTTCCTGGGGATGTGTAACAAAAAAGGAGACCTGGTCGAGGACCGGGCCGCGGGGACGCTAGGCCCCGAAATCATCTCAAGATAACCTTATTTTTAGAGTTATGTCCATCTTGAATTCTCCTGGAGTTGTGACTACTGTACAGTAAATACATACTGTATTATGCCTTTTGCACTGTATTGATTATGTAGTTCTGCTGTATGTTGAGTACTATAATACAGTTTATGAAAACTGTTGTACACTAAAATTACTGCAACTTTAATTTTAACACTTTAACACTATGTACTTAAATTTAACACTTGTTCTAACTGTACACTCCACACAGTGTTCTTAGATGTTTGCATCAGCTTTGCTAATGCTTGGTGCTGCTGCATTGGCTTCAGCTGCTTCTGAGCTGGTGCTGGGTACAGCTGTACTGGTTAATTTTCTTCTACTAGTTCTTGCAAAATATTGACTCATTTTCGTTTGTTTCCTTCCTTCTGTCATGTTCTTTGAGACAAATATCTTTCATCATCCTTAAATGTTGATAAAAGCCTGGTAGCTCTGGATTGTTAGTTTGTGAAACAATATCAAGGAGTTTATCAAGATGGAACAATGCATCAGCACAAGTAGCAGGTTGTAACCTGCTATCGTGCTCGTCCTCATCTTCCTTTCTGTCGTCATCAACAGTGCCAGTAACATTTTGTACAATCTCGTCATACGTTAAATGACCAATGGGTGGATCGACTGCATCTTACCACTCCTCCACATCGTTCAGAGTCACCTCCACCTCACCAGCCTTGCATAGTTCTTGATAAATTTCATTTAAAAATCCTTCAAACTCCATTTTTTCTTCAGTCACTTCAGCATTATCAAACAGCAGGTGTTTCTTCCAACAATTTCTTAATATTGACTCTTTAAATTCATCCCAAACTTAGCCCAGTTGTAAATTGCTTCCTTAATTGAGTATTTTTTGTAACATTTCAGTGTTGCTTGACTTCGTGAATCAGTTTCTTGTCTTTTGTCTTCGTCTGACTCAAACACCACCATGATTTCTTTATTCATTGCTCGTTTGTAGAGCCTTTTTATTGCATATATAACACCCATATCCATTGGCTGGATCAGAGAGGTGGTATTTGGAGGTAAGGTCGTGCATTTGATGCATCCATCAGTTGACGCTAATGTTTCAAGCCCAACATGAGCTGGGGCATTGTCAACCAAGATTAATGCCTTGACATCATTCCACCTCATTCCACACTTGTTTATTTGAAAATCTCTTGCTTCTTTACAAAAAGGAATTTTAAACCAGTCTATAAAATTGTCTCTAGTAAACCAAGCTGTTGTAGAGTTGTAGCAGACCACAGGTAGCCTGTTCATTAAATTTTTCAAAGTACGTTTTTTGTTTTTTTTAATTCCCCATAATAACACACTTTGTTCTATGACAAAGTGTTTGCATTCGCACACAGCATGGCTGAAACAGCCTTCCGGAGCCCCGCCTCGATATTTCCATGGATGCCTCCTCTCTAGGCTGGAGCTTTGTGACCAGTGCTCACCAGGACGGCCAGGGGCGATGGGCTCTGTCCTTTTGTGGGGCTCCCAGTACGGTGCGAGAATTTGCAGCGGTGTGGCTTGTGCTGCATCAGATACGGCTCCCTCAGGGCTCTATGGTCCGGCTCCATTTGGACTTCATTCTGGTGGTTCTTTGCCTGAACTGCATTGGGGGTCTGCAGTCCATGGCTCTTTGGGGCTAGTCACTTCAGTTGGCTCTTCTGCTCAGTTCTCGGGGTTTAGCTCTCTGTGCAGTTCATTTCTGGGGTGTGTGCAATTTCCTGGCAGATGCCTGTCATAATTCATTCCCGGTTCTTGGAATGGACGGTCGACACTGACTCCTTCAGTTGGCTCTACCAGACGTTTAGGCTCCCGGAGGTGGACCTCTTTGCATCGGCATGGTCATGGTGCCTCCATCAATGTGGTGCCCTTTCCTGACTGCAAGGCCTTTGCTGTTGACACTTTTCAGCAGGACTGGTCGAGGTGGGGTTTCCTGTACCCCTTTCCCCCAGTTCAGCTGTTGCTTCGGGTTCTGGCTCAGCTCAAGTCCTCTTGGGGAAGGGTTCTCCTGCTGGCCCCATGGTGACCAGCCCAACCTTTGTTTCAGGAGCTGCATGCTCGGTGTCCGAACCCGGGGTATTTTCTACCGCTCTGCCTCTTTCAACAGATTGGGCTGGTGAAGTGCTTTGCTGGAGCACTCTTCTCTTCCGCGCTTCACATCTGGGGTTTCTGATGCGAGTGTTTCACCGTCTGTATGGTCGCCAGGTGGCTTCTCTAATGGTATCCCACCTGAGGTCGTCTTCTTGGCGACAGTATGAAGTCTCTTGACAGTCTTTTTGCCACTTTCTTTCCCCGAGTAGGTTGTCCTCAGTTTCGGTTTGTGTTGTTTCAATTTTTCTTGGCTTTTTCAAGTCAGGCATCAGATGCCGAATACTGTCACTTTGTATCATGCGGCACTGGCGAAGCTGCTCCAGCTTGCGTCCAGGGTGGATATCACTTCTGTTCTGTTTCGTAAGCTTTCTCGTGCGTTTTCCACCTCTGGCCTGCTTGTGCGCCGCCTGAGCTGACCTGGTCTTTGAACCAGGTACTCTCTCTCTTCTCATTTCCCCTTCGGTTTGTGGTGTCCCCTTTGGTCAGTGATTGTTTCCAGAAGGCTTTGTATTTGTTGGATTTGGCTTCTGAGGGTCGGGTCGGGGAGCTTCATGCTCTCCTCCGGCGTGGAAGCTTCTGCTCTTTTAGTCTGGGTGGATGTTTTGTTCGTTTGCAGCTGTCTCCTTTTCTGGCGGAGAATGAGATGGCGGGCTTCCGGAGGAGTCTGTGAGTTATTGATGCTTGGTTAGTCAGGCCAGGGGTGCATCATGTGTTGTCAGGTTGTGGCTTTACGTCATTACTTGCATGCCTCAGCTTTTGTGTCATGGGACATGCTGTGGGTTGACCCGGTATCCCTTGTTCCCTGTTTCACGGACAGTGAATGAGGGAAACCGAACTAATGGTCCGGCCGCCGGCTCGGTGGGCCAGGACCATCCTTCCCCCAGCTCGGTGGGCCAAGACCAGCAATGTGATGACGTGTTGCTTGTTTCCTTGTATGTTTTGGGGGGAATTTCTAGCCTTTGTTTGGTCTCCAGGTGCAATTTTCTTACCAGTTGAGGGTCTGTTTTGGGGCGCCTACCTTTCTGGATGTCTAACCCCGGTCGATGGCAGACATGAAAATTTTCAGACAAGGAAGTTTCATAGGCCATGGCTCCCTGTGCCTCTCTTAAGGGAACCATGTTCTGGCTAATGGTCTCCGATAGGCATGACAACTCCATATGACTGAAGCCTCGTACTAATATTAGCTAATGTCAGTCCAATAGCTCCAGGGAGCCTCCGGGGCTCTACCCAGAAAATGGAGTTTCATTACATTCAACGCTGGTTTTTTCTTCTCTTCCTCTTCCTCATTCCTTTTTATCTCCCCTCACACAACTTGACCATTAATTTCCTGTGTTCTCAAGTACAAAATATGTGAAATATTACATACAGTACAGTCAATTTTTGTGCCTGTTGTAATACTGTATGTTGTCTTATATGCAGGTTTTACGTTGGGTGTGACCTGTGTGGCAACTGGTTCCATGGAGACTGTGTGGGTATTACGGAAGCCATGAGCCGCAGTATGACGGAGTATGTCTGCGATGACTGTGCAAATGCAAAGCTCAACAAAGAATTATTCTGCTTTTGTCGACAGGTGTGTAACGAGAATCTAATCTATTTATATTATATGTGCTGAATGCAAAAATTGACTCTTGTATCCTAACATAATATTTTCTTTCTGTGATGAAAGTGATGTTTTCGCTACTATATTTGTAAAAACTTATTAAACTGTGAGGGTTAATAATAATCTCATGTTTATTATCAGTTTTCAAAATCAATGCAATACAGTATGTGCACCCATTTTATTCCTTTCTCCTAGAGTAATAGTAGTTGCATTTTACTTTCTAAATAAATAAAATATCATTGTAGTATTATAATTTCTCGTAATTCCAGCCATATGATGAGACACAATTCTACATTTGCTGTGAGCAGTGTGAGGATTGGTACCATGGCAAGTGTGTGGGTATAATGCAGACAGAAGCAGATGATATTGATGATTACATTTGTCCAAAGTGTGATGCAAACAATGTATGGAATTATCCCTGTCAGAAGACTCTTTCTATGAAGGATTATTCAGAGCTGAAAAAAGTCACAAAAAGCCTTATAGTAAGTAGCCTTTTATTGTTGATGTGAAAATTTTTTATTGACCCCCTTGTATGGCTGGGATCTTCCACCCCATGGGCTACAGTGGAGCTAGGAATCTTTCTTTGAGATGCTGTCGGAGCTCACATCTTGTGAGTGAGTCTTGTTGTTTGACGTCACCTGTTTGACTCCCTTATCGACCTGTTTCCAGTGGATAAGGGAGTACCTAAGCAATAGGAAGCAGAGAGTTATAGTGAGGGATGTGACCTCAGATTGGCGTGAAGTCACCAGTGGAGTCTCACAGGGCTCTGTACTCGGACCTATCCTGTTTCTGATATACGTAAATGATCTCCCAGAGGGTATAGACTCATTCCTCTCAATGTTTGCTGACGACGCCAAAATTATGAGAAGGATTAAGACAGAGGGAGGGAGCCAGTCGGCCGAACGGACAGCACACTGGACTTGTGATCCTGTGGTCCTGGGTTCGATCCCAGGCGTCAGCGAGAAACCATGGGCAGAGTTTCTTTCACCCTATGCCCCTGTTACCTAGCAGTAAAATAGGTACCTGGGTGTTAGTCAGCTGTCACGGGCTGCTTCCTGGGGGTGGAGGCTTGGTCGAGGACCGGGCCGTGGGGACACTAAAAAGCCCTGATATCATCTCAAGAGGACAGCTTGAGGCTTCAAAAAGACCTGGACAAGCTGCAGGAATGGTCGAACAAATGGTTGTTAGAGTTTATCCCAAACAAATGTAATGTAATGAAGATAGGTGTAGGGAGCAGGAGACCAGATACAAGGTATCATTTGGGAGATGAAATGCTCCAAGAATCAGATAGAGAAAGACCTGGGGGTTGATATTACGCCAGACCTATCCTCTGAAGCTCATATCAAGAGGATAACATCAGCGATATATGCCAGGTTGGCTAACATAAGAACGGCCTTTAGAAACTTGTGTAAGGAATCTTTCAGAATATTATATGCCACATATGTCAGACCAATCCTGGAGTATGCGGCTCCAGCATGGAGTCCATATCTAGTCAAGCATAAGACTAAACTGGTAAAGGTTCAAAGGTTTGCGACCAGACTAGTACCCGAACTTAGGGGGTATGAGTAATGAGGAGAGACTACAGGAATTAAACCTCACATCGCTGGAAGACACAAGAGTTAGGGGGAGACATGATCACCACATACAAGATTCTTAGAGGAATTGATAGGGTAGATAAAGACAGACTATTTAACACAAGGGGCACATACACTACATATCATTAATACATGGATGGCACATTAAATACATGGATGGCGATATACTAAAGAAATTGTTCATGACTTTTGTTAGGCCAAAGCTAGAATATGCAGCGGTTGTGTGGTGCCCATATCTTAAGCACATCAACAAACTGGAAAAGGTGCAAAGACATGCTACTAAGTGGCTCCCAGAACTGAAGGGCAAGAGCTACGAGGAGAGGTTAGAGGCATTAAATATGCCAAAACTAGAAGACAGAAGAAAAAGAGGTGATATGATCACTACATACAAAATAGTAACAGGAATTGATAAAATTGATAGGGAAGACTTCCTGAGACCTGGAACTTTAAGAACAAGAGGTCATAGATATAAACTAGCTAAACACAGATGTCGAAGAAATATAAGAAAATTCACTTTCGCAAACAGAGTGGTAGACGGTTGGAACAAGTTAGGTGAGAAGGTGGTGGAGGCCAAGACCGTCAGTAGTTTCAAAGCGTTATATAACAAAGAGTGCTGGGAAGACGGGACACCACGAGCGTAGCTCTCATCCTGTAACTACACTTAGGTAATTACTAGGGGACACAGGTGGAAATTGAGTGCCCAAATGAGCCATAGAGACGTTAGAAAGAATTTTTTCAGTGTCAGAGTAGTAGACAAATGGAATGCATAAGGAAGTGATGTGGTGGAGGCTGACTCCATACACAGCTTTAAGTGTAGATATGATAGAGCCCAGTAGGCTCAGGAACCTGCATATTAGTTGATTGACTGTTGAGAGGTGGGACTAAAGAGCCAGAGCTCAACCCCCACAACCACAACTTGGTAAGTACAACTTGGTAAGTACACACAGACACCCACGCACGTACCCTTTCTGGGGGGAGCCCCTACAGCTCCCCGGAGCTGATATGCTAATGTCAGACTATGGCATCAGTCATGTGTATAGAGTTCTGTGGGCCTACCGGGGACCACGAGCCCAGAATCTGGCCTCACTCAGAGAGGCATGGGGAGCAATGGCCTATAGAAACCCCCATGTGTTTGGAAGAATTCTGTCTGCCATCGACCGGGTCAGGCACCCAGAAAGGTAAGCATCCCAAAACAAACCCCTATTCTGGTGAAAATTGCTACCAATAGCCGAGCAAGTGGATACAAGTCCCCAAAAAAGAAACGAGCATGACCGGGGAGGGGACGCGGGAACCCCAGACCCTCGCGCTGGCCATCCACCCTTTAGTTTTAAGGTTGATGCTAGAGGCGGAGGTTGTGTGCTCTGGCTCCAGTGATTTTTCAGCACTGTGCTTCGAGTGTGGTGGCTGTCTTCCAGGGGTGCGAGAGCCAGGAGTTATTCTACATTACTCGGGTTGCATGCGCCTAGGGTTACCTTCCCTAGGTTCCCTGTAAGTACTCCCTTTGGGGCTTGGGGTTACCTTCCACAAGTTCCTTGGGTCCTGCCTCTGCTGGGCTGTTTAACTGCTCAGTTTTTCGGCCGCCCTTTGGGTGCTTATATGTTTTGTCTCCCTTGTTTACCTTAGGGTAAGAGGCAGTTTGCACTGGTAAGGGGTGCAGGGTGCGTCGCAGCTTGTTTTCACCATTTGTAACGGCCGGCTCTGTTCCTTTGGGTACGTTGTCCTCTTGCGGGGGTTTTGTTTTTCTTTATGTTTGTGCCTTGTGGGGAAGTCTGCCTTGCTCTCCCCTTGGTGTTTGACCTAATACGGTTTTCTTCTGGTGGTGCCCTCTGCTAGGTCCCTGTGAGTGTATGCGTCGCCGAGGAGCAGTTTTAGAAAGTTGCTTGGTAGTTTAGGATGCAGGTTAGCAGTACCCTGCCTGGGATTCCCAGAGCATAAATTCCGTCTCAGGACTCTGGGAAACCCCACGGGGGCGCGTTGGTCTGATGGATGTGACCCCGGAGTTCCCCTTCGCTTCGTGCTAGTTTGAGGGTTGCTCGGTCCCCTTGTCTCAGGGTAACTCACTGTTTTTGCCTCCGCCACGCTGCCTGTTGGGTCGGTGACACTTTCGACCCGGAGTCCTGTGAGTTCTGTTTCTTGCTGGTGACTCAGTTTACCCAGTCTACTACTGATCTTCTACGGGTACAGGCGTTGCATGTACGCTTCAAGTTGTTGCAATGCGCTTGGTTGGTTGCTCATCGGGATGCCCCGTTTTGCTTATAGGGACCCGGACTTGGGGTTAGGAGTCGCTTTGAGTTCTTGCTGGTGGTTCACCTTGGTTCAGTCGGCACTCCCTCGTTCTTTCCTGTAGTGGTTCATTCTGGTCCCCTGCTTCCGGCCCCGAAGCATCTGAGGGTTTCGAAGTCGGGGCAGGGTTTAGATGGTCTTGAGACTCGGGCAGTCTCGGGAGCTGCCCTTTCCGGTGTGGCGACCGAGGCATTCGAGTCTGATCTCCCTGCCGCAGCCTCCGGGTCTTACCAGTGGGTAAGTAAGGTACTTTCTCGAAGAAGAAAATAAAGAGTATTCAGAGAAGAAATTGTGGATTCTCACTGAACACTTTAATCTGTGTATATATATATATTTTATTTATTTATTTATTTTATTTATTTTATTAGTGGTTACTTGTACCCTGTATGCCAGAGGGTGATCCTGAGCGGCAGGGGTTCGAATCCTGGTAGGGTCAAAAGAGTTCTTAGTGATTAATGGTTCACACATTTGTGCAGCCTTTTGTCATATATATATATACAGTATATTTTTAATAATATTATTATTATTATAAAAATAAATATAATCTATTGTAAAGACATACATTTTGTACCAAAGTGTTATCACATTTCTCAAGTATTTATAGACATGCTTGCTGGCTCTAATTTTTTTTCTTTTCCTCCAATATTTTTGCCAATTTCAGTGCCTTATGCTCCTTCCCTTACATTCAAAACAAGATGGTAAATGGAATCAAATCACTAATATTTGTATTTAATTTCTTAGTTATACGTTTCCCTTTGAAATATTCATGTTTATATTTGGCTTCAGGATGTTTTTTTATATTTTTTCCTGCAGCAACATAAGAATGCATGGCCATTTCTGGAGCCAGTTGACCCTTCCGAGGTTCCCGATTATTACAAAGTGGTTAAGGAGCCTATGGATCTAAAAACTGTGGAGAGTCGCGTTGAAGAAAAGTCATATCAGCAACTGGCACAGTTCATCGGCGACGTAATGTTGGTGTTTGATAATTGCCGCCTCTACAACCCTCCCAACTCATCTTTCTGCTCTTGTGCAGCAACATTAGAGTCCTTCTTTTGCCAAAAGCTCAGGAGTCTCAAACTTCGGTTAGGTCAGAAAACTTATTGATATCTTGGTTTAATAATTCTTGCAAAATCTTGAAGCTCAATTTTTTGTTTATATTTTCTGAAATCTCTGAAAAGTTGTCAGTATCTTGCTGTAATGATGATTGGTTGTGAAAAGAATTTTAATTAGGTAAATCAGAATTATTTTTTTTTTGTTATATAGCAACACTAATCACTCTTAGCATCAGGAACAGCCTTGGATGTACGGTTAATGTATCATACTGATGAGACCTGCATGTCCACTTGGGCAGTGTTAACACTTGTCATGTAAAATGATAGCACTTAACCTATTGCATGAGCCAGAGAATGTTGAGCTATTTCATAAATTTGAATTTCATGGAAATTCTATATAATGTTACCGGAAATGGCCTCGGTATCAAAAGACTATTTTTTAAGTAATTCTTTCTTTCACATATTATATTTTGTTGAGAGAAGAGGTGAAAAGTGTGAAGAGATTAATTTATTGGGTGTTATTGAAATAGTTTTTAATTATACACAAAAAGAAACTTGTTAGGTTTGGCCAAGAAAGTGTGTTTATCGGTAATTTAAGAAGAGTGAGCCCTCATCCTGAAGAATGATGATAAACTAGAGATGTGCACTAGGTTGACATGAAAACTCTTTGTTGGCTCAAAATCAGATTGTTACTGTTAACAAATGAAAAAGAAGGGAATTCAAGCATTTATGGTAGTTTTAAATGTTTTATTGGTGATACCTAGCATGTGTTAGTGTGTGGATGAAGGCAAGTGGGCATGGAAGGTGGAGTGGTGTTGGGTCTGGTGTGGTTACCGTCAACACATTTTATAACGTTTCTTGAGCGATTGCCACCCCAATCCTGTCAACAAGTAAGTTTTGTACCTTTTAAATAAGGAAAATTGTTTATTATTAATGGTACCAATATTTTATTGACAATTAATCCTCGGTAATAAAATTGTAGAATTTTATTAAAAGTTGTTAAGTGCAGAGGTGCAGGAAATATTTCTGCTATGTGCACATTTATATTATGCAATAGACTAACATTATATTGTACATAGAAAAGTGTATGTACTTGAATGTACATTATAGTATATTTCTATAGAATATACATACATGTACTCTTTGCATTATCAAGAGGCATATTATTTTTACTGATATCATATCAATAAATGTACTCACATAATGGAGTAATGTATAGACTCATGTGTTTAGTCATCCATCGTCACATACCTGTTATCCCTCCGAGCATCACATCAGTTTCTTCAGTCGGTCTCGGACATCACCCTTGTCACATTCCTTTTGTAGATATGATTTCAACAGTTGGTCGCCGCACAAATCATTTACAGTAATGTCCTGGATAAGAATACAAGATTAATATATATTTGAGTTGTTGGAATGACTGCCTGAAGCAAAAGACAATAGATGGGATGTTTAAACCTAATGCTTCACAGCAGATAGGCAACTTTTATGTACAAAAGAGAGGTTACCTGTATGTTTCTCAAAGATTAATAGATTTTGTGAATAAACCTTGCTGGCCTTGTGTGGGAGTGTGGCTGTAGATATAAATTAGTTTCCATGGGCTCCCAACACTTCAGCCATTAGCGGGCAGCGTTGGTGATGTCGCGGCTGACGGCATATTTATAATTCTCGTGTTATAAGCAGTTGCCCACTTTAAAATGTTAATACTTCATGATTGAGTCAACCTTGTACTTTTGTCTGTAAATGTGAATGTCATCGTCTGATAAATGATACCCAACTATTTTTGAGTACGGATAGGCGATGATTGTAGTATTTTACAGAGTTCTTTAGTGCTTTTATTCATAACATTTATTCAGCACATGTTGGTGTGGCTTACTGGTTTCAAAGGGCATATGTTTTGTGCACATTGAGGACGACACGCTGAACACATACATGTTTAGACTACGTTGCCAAGTTGTATATGGCTGTTCATGGTCTTCACAGCCTCTCAGCTAAGTACAAAATTTATCTTTGTGAAGACACCTAACATGAATATGCATATTTGTAAAGATAATTTGTAATAAGACTGCGTTTGTTTTATAAAGTCAAGTATTCTAAACTATGGTTTTGTTTGACCTCATAAGAAGATTGTAATAAGTAATTAACAAAAGAAGGCACCAATCCGGGAAGGCTATGTAGCACCATCAAATGTGCAGGATATTCATAGGGCGTTAAATATCATTAAGGATGCCAATACGAGACCAAAAGCACATAAGGCGAGGGGAAGGGAACTATCAGAAGAAAGCGCCAAGCCATTATGTCTGTATGGCACTGGGAAAGGATCAGGATAAAGATATGGGAGGGGTGGGGGAAGGAATGGTACCCAACCACTTGGACAATCAGGGATTGAACGCCGATCTGCATGAAGCGAGACAATCGTTCTACCATCAATTAGTAAAGGTATCTGAATCGCCAAGAATTCTATTGAGGGACAGTCAGAAAGCAAGACACACAAGTCCTGGAAGTCAGGACATTCAACAAGGATATGTACAATTATAAGAGGGACAATAAGGAGCAGGACTGCGCTCTATTAAGTGCCCTTCAGTTAAACAAGTATGGCCAGTACCTAACCTCGCCAGAGCCATTTCCCACCGCTGGTTACGGTGGTAGGAAGGAAGGTCATTGGGGGACACTACTTTTAGGAGCACGCAATTTGTTACTAGTAACAGAAGACCAATGGGGAAAGATTGAGGAATGAATAAATGGGTAGAAGTCGGAATAAGGGATACCTTTATGGACAAGTGTGGATAGCTTCCTTAGCGGCAGTGTCCCCACTGTAGAAAGAGGTAAATGGTGAAGGGAAACAGGGACCACAGGAGGGGTCAAGTTCAAGGCACAATATAAGCGAGAGTGAAGGAGTTGTAAGGACCGTGTAAGGTAACGAAGACAGTAGTGAGCACGGTGATTCTATAGAGACAGAACACCAGTTTCAACATATAGGCTTAGGGTAGGATTCAAACGAAAGGCACCAGAACCGAGATGTAACCCAGTATGGCGCAGAGCATCCAGACGGCGAAGAGAAGAAGCAGCAGAGCAACCATAATTGATTTTAGACTACGAGAGGAGCATTGCCTCTCCACTGCCCAAGAAGTAAGTTAAGGGCCTTCAAGCATTCAACTCAGAGGTAAGAGATATTGGGTGACCAAGACAAAAGAGTTTCAAAGATTAACCCCAAAAGCTTAGCAGAATCTTTGTACACAAGGGGATAATCATAAAGTGACAAAGGGGGGATGAAGAATGACCTGCTTCCTAGTAAAAGTCATAGCACAAATTTAAGTTGTAGAGAACTTGAAGCCATGATTGGTGGCCCAAGATTTGGTTTGGGTGGTTTCATTCAAAATGATCTGCTGCTAGAAGTCTTGGCCAAATATTCCCAATTTGTTAACTGTAGGTAGTAACTAAGTGATTGTAACCGATCCACCGCTGCCCACTGGATGGGGGGCGGTGTGCAGGACAAACATATCAGTTGTGACACTAGCTCTCCACATGTCAGTTGCTTAATCTGGAAACTGTACTTGAGGTCGGTCTCGAGCCCATTGTTAATGTGACGATGTGCATTGAATTTTGTAACTTGCTTAGCTAAATGAATTGTGGGGTTCAGTCCCTGAGCCCATTATGTACCTCAGTAACCCTTTCCACTACCGCCCACAAGATGGGTATGGGGTGCATAATAAATGAACTAAACTAACTGCTGGGTAAACTGAGGCTACAGTTAGGGATTGGCGACCAGTCAATTCTCCTCGGCCAGGATACGAACCCAGGCACAGCGTTTGAGAAGCGTCGGGCGAGTGCTTTGCCACTGCGCCACGGGGACTGCTAACACAGGACCAGATGGTCAGTGACGTCTATGGGTCATCCAGTAAGGTTAGCAGACTCTTACATGTTACCACTACTAGGCTTAGGCTCGGCTACAAGTACCTTTGGGAGTTTGTAACATCTGCTGATGTAGATTTGACTAAATGTAAACTCTGTCAGCAGAACTATTCGCATACTTTGCGTCATTATATAATGGAATGTGAAAAAATCGCGGAATTTAGAGATAACACCATCAATAGTGTCCAAGAAATGTGTAAGTACTTCATTCATAATGATGTGCTGCCCGAAATCTTAGCGAAATATTCAAAATTTGCTTTCTGTAGGTAATGCATGCACATGACTGTAAAGCTGCCGCCCAGTTGGGTGGGTGTGGAGCACATGACTGTAAAGCTGCCGCCCAGTTGGGTGGGTGTGGAGCACATGACTGTAAAGCTGCCGCCCAGTTGGGTGGGTGTGGAGCACATGACTGTAAAGCTGCCGCCCAGTTGGGTGGGTGTGGAGCACATGACTAAAGCTGCCGCCCAGTTGGGTGGGTGTGGAGCACATGACTGTAAAGCTGCCGCCCAGTTGGGTGGGTGTGGAGCACATGACTGTAAAGCTGCCGCCCAGTTGGGTGGGTGTGGATCACATGACTAAAGCTGCCGCCCAGTTGGGTGGGTGTGGAGCACATGACTGTAAAGCTGCCGCCCAGTTGGGTGGGTGTGGAGCACATGACTAAAGCTACCGCCCAGTTGGGTGGGTGTGGAGCACATGACTAAAGCTGCCGCCCAGTTGGGTGGGTGTGGAGCACATGACTAAAGCTACCGCCCAGTTGGGTGGGTGTGGAGCACATGACTAAAGCTACCGCCCAGTTGGGTGGGTGTGGAGCACATGACTAAAGCTACCGCCCAGTTGGGTGGGTGTGGAGCAAGACTAGTAACTGTGTGACTCACCATAGATGTAAAGGGCCTTGTATAGTGACTGTTGTGAGCCTCTTGTAATGTCACTTGTGATACAAAAGATTATTGATTTGTGTAGGTGATTGTATATGTGTATGTATGTATATATATATATATATATATATATATATATATATATATATATATATATATATATATATATATATATATATATATATATATATATATATATATATATATATATATATATATATATATATATATATATATATATATATATATATATATATATATATATATATATATATATATATATATATATGTACATGTCTCATTGAATATGACCGCATATTCAGTATTTACTATCTTCTGGTTTAGGGCTTCTATCCCTCTAACTATTTTCCTAGCATCAGGGCTTAGCTGAAAGAGGAGTTCTCCAAAACTCATTTTCGTTATTTCAAGGTGAAGAAAAAAGTGAATTACTATAGAATGTATTACACTTATTTATACAATTTGCACAACGTTTCGAACCTCCATGGTTCATTCTCAAGTGAACTGAATCACAACGAGTCCGAATTACGGGTCCTGTAATTTCATTTCACTTGAGAATGAACCATGGAGGTTCGAAACGTGCAAATTGTATAAATAAGTGTAATACATTCTATAGTAATTCACTTTTTTCTTCACCTTGAAATAACGAAAATGAGTTTTGGAGAACTCCTCTTTCAGCTAAGCCCTGATGCTAGGAAAATAGTTAGAGGGATAGAAGCCCTAAACCAGAAGATTGGGCTACTTTTGAGAGCCCCGAGTGATAAATGAGTGAAAGAGATAGACGCTCCCAAATTTTACAAGAAAACTAATTTCGCTACTTGCTACTTTTGTGGGCTAATTTAAAACAGCAAGATGTGCTAATTTGGGCTATTAATGTTAAGAATGTACGATTGCGATGTTACATGAAAGTAACTAAGCTATAAATAATTGTAATTAATAATAATTGTAAATATTAATTAATACTAAATAATATTATTTAATAAATTAGTCCCAATTCAATGCAGAGTTTTCTTCCAAGCACAGAAACTTGTAAATATAAATACAAGATAATAGATAGATCGATAAATAAATAGACAACTTTCAAATATTGCACCAAGTAATGGCGAGACGAAAAAAACTACAGTATACATTACATTTGAAATTAATAATGGATGAATGGTAATAAATTGGTGTATGTTTGTATGTATATCAGACAAAGTCCATTTAGTGGTAGAATTTAGTCATTTTGTGTAAAAACTTTTATATCTCATATTATCAGTTATAACAGTAATCGAAAAAAGTCATAGTTTGTATATACAAGAGATGAAACAGAGAGCCATGAGCTAGAGCGATGTGCTGAGTCCATAAGGAGGCCGAGCTTCCAGAAATACCTTCCTGTGATTGGCTGTTGCGGGGAATACCAACACTCTTTTATGAATAAAATTTAAACTAAGAAATAGGTCCTTGTGCACAACAACAAGGTTGTTGTGAAAAAGGACAACAATTTCTGTTTTGCCTCTGACAGATATCTCCATCTAACTGAATAATTTACTCGAATAAGAGGGCAGAGCAGCGTATCATTATTTGTGTCAAGGCAACCCCCAATAATAACGTCACAAGTTAGGTAGCCAGCCCATTTTTATATAACATCTGTTATATCCTGCAATATTTAATTATCACTTTATTAACACTTTTAAATAATTAACACTTCACTTTTTTTTGGGTAGATTAAAGTTAAAGCAGAATTCCATAATCAAGACTGGTGGGCTGAACTAAGATGTTCTAAGATGAACTAAGAACTAAGTGGATGGCACCTATAGCTGATTCCTTCCTGTGATTGGCTGTTGTGTGAATGTCAACAAAGAATATCTACCAATGATACGCCATTTATTATGCACCCCATACCATTTTGTGGACGGAGCTTGGAACCTCCTACCCGAGCACAACAACCCACCTTATGGGTTGCTGTTTGGCTATTTATAGTGCGTTGGAAAAGCAACAGATGGCGTTAGTTGTATTTTGCAGGGTAATTTGTTATAAGTGTAATTTGATGTCAACAGATGGCGTAAGCTGTATCTTATGGCTACTGTTGACCAGCCAGTTGATAGTGTTCTTATCTGCCGACAGATGGCATCAGCTGTATTATTATTATTTTAATAATACATTAATACTAATGTATTATTATTACTTTAAACGCTGATCTACACGTCTGGTAGCTTATAATAAGGTTTTATACCGTGCTGGTATTAGGTAACTAGAATTCTGCAATTACTTTTTTTTTATCTACTGTTGAGGATATGTAAGACAAATGTAA